GGCGTTTAATATTAGCATAGAGAATCCAGTTTTTTCATCACTGATGACAATTTTGTCCAAAACTGGTTCACGCGCATTACGCACCAGAAGAGATGAAGCAATATTCACACATTGGAAACACTGACCATCAGAGAGTTCTTGAGGCACACAAACACCTTCTTTTTGGAGTTTTCCCATATTCTTTAGATGTTTACGTATTGTTTCATGAGAGACATGTAATTTCAGGGCCATTTCACAAGTGTGTTGCCTTGGGTTAGACTCAAGTAGCTTCTACAGAGCATAAATATTCATTCCAATATGTTGGCCCCTGCCATCACAGTTTTTAAGGCTAAAGTTACCTGAATGAAATTTGACGAATGTTCAAAACATATCCATAAACTTCTTTGATATTCTTTGTGGATACAGAGGCGTTGTTTCTTTTCTTGTATTCCCACAGCATTACATGCCGAATGTGTGTCTCATCATGTGCTATCACAATAAGGGATTAGAGTATACTAAACTTTACACATTATATAGGCTACACTAACGTGATGTTAAAGAGGTTTGTTTAACTATTATACATTTTTTGGGGGGTGGTTAATGAAAATATTCCAAAATGCAACATTAATTTCTTGACGACCTAGTATTATCATGAACACAAAATCAAAATTACATAAATGTATATGCTGTCATTCTTAATGCAAACTTCATTCTATTATTACTGTTTTAGAGTGACATTTTTTTACCTTCAATACAACTACAAATTGTGTAAAGGACAATGTTAGATGATGTTCCCCTTCTTTCTTTTGTTATTAAATCCCTAATGGCTTCATTAGATGCTAATTGCATACCTTACTTTATGAAAGGTAATGATTAATTCATTTAACTGATTAAGTACTCGAGTCTTTAAATTCAAAGCCAACAAGTCTATAAATAAGTGGATATGTGCCTTATTTCTTGGGCAAAAATCACAAAATGAAACAGCCATGTACATCATTTGACAGTTTCCAGTTACCATACGAAAAATTATGATAATTGAGCTAGCCAACTCTGGTGTTGGATGGTTAACATAAACACACATGATGGATCATCTTTATAATAAGATATGTGTGTGATCTGCTTTATCTTTTGTTTTTTAATTTTACGAGTACGTAACAAGTAAATTGGGGTGTTTGATAGGCAAGTTGGAAAATAATTGATCCAATGAGCACTTTGAATTTTTTTATCAGCAAGTTTTTTTGGTGACAGGCATGAATTTTTTTTAGCCTGTGTTGTGATTAAAAAACTACTGATATAAAAGTTCAAATTGTTTTATTTTCATTCTCTATTTTAACACCACAGTAAGAAATTTCAAAGTTCATTTATCTATAGGTACATCATACTTACTGAGTATTGATAACAGTAATCTTGTTTTTCATAAATGCATAAATAACACTAAATCTCAAGATGAACAGTGTTGCAAACAAGAGTAAACATTTGAGACTGTATAACAGTTCTTCATTATGATTTAAATACTGGTTATATGTATCTCAGCATTCAGAATACTGCACTATTATAACAAATGAAATATATCATAGATCAATGTAAAATATTTTGAGAAGAGGTAGAACAAACACCTGATACTGTGAGCTTGGATATTTATTGCATATCAACTGGACATCAGTCACATTTTAAAATATCACTTATTTTTGATAGAGTGATTCTTGCAGGAAATGTCCAAAGTTTATAATAATATATTAATATATATATATATAATGATCCTCAAGTATTTCAACTGCTGTAGTGCTTTGTGGTCTCTGGAAGTAAATGATGGGTTATTGTTCTCCTTTACCAAGCATTTATAAAGTTTCTTGTTATTCCCCCACCATATTGTAATAACTGTTTCTTTTCTTCCTTATGTTTCTGGTCAATGTTCAAGGCATTCAACTTGCTAATTTCAGTTTGTTTGTTTTTTATTTGTTTAATGCAGACATTTACAAGCCATCTTTTCATTTAGTTCATACACTCGTGAACCACTTTTAGCATATTTTGACAATTTAATTGTAATTTATACATCTTTTAAGCATATATTTAGGGTGTTTTTCACCAGTTGTTACTTTGACTTCTGGAGTCAATTTGAAACATCATTTATATTATGCTTTATGTACTGGGTGTTTTGAGTCACTTGTACTGTTCATAGCAATGTGGTGTGTTATGATAACATATGGTCACACTTCATAGCACCTATGGTTCACAAATAGGGTATTTATAATAGTTATTTGATGGGGTTACCATTAGTGATAGTTTTCACCTTCAGTGACTTGTATACATTGTCTTCCACATAATCGACTTGGTCTAAACACTGCATTTCACTTTGTGTCCATCAGTTTCCTGAATGCAGTAATTTGAGCAGTGAAAGTGACATGAAACACTCCATACATAAAGGGTATGAGGCAAAAACATCAATATCTTGACATAATTAGTAATAAATGAAAAGTCATCAGGCTAAGATTTGAATGAAGTATCTTGTCTAAAAAATAATTCTTTGAAAACATTTTGTGTTTTTAGATACTTAGTCTAAACCAGCTTGAAAATATCTAAAAAAACTTAAGTTGATCATCTTAAGTTTAACTGTGGAAAAGTTTAAGAGTACTACATTCAAAATACTTTTTAAAAGAAAATTGAGAAATTTCAGACTTTAGTTTTGATTGTGGCACCTTAGAAGTAAATTGTTTGTTACAAGAAAGTTTAACAGTCTTTTGTCATTGAGAAAGTAAAAACTAAATATTGTATTACCAATTACAATTTCCAGAAGTTTGTGATTAAATATATTTACAAAGTTAGGAATTAAAAAGTAATATCCAAATAATTTTTATTTTAGATCTGGAAAAATGGTTCTTAGTTGTTATTTAATGTTTTCATTTTTGACAGCATAATAAAGCCATGTGCTATTCACAAATTGATCCTTAGTGAGTGCCAAATTTAAAATACTTTAACACATGCACACTGTATGTTTTATAGGAGTTTCAACTTAATAACTACTCAAATTTTACTACCATCATATTTTTTAAATTGTTTTTATAGGAAGTTGAAACTGATCAATTCTATAACTTTTTCCTCCCTGAACTGAGGAATGAAGGCTATGATGGTATTTTTTCACCAAAGTCAAGAGCAAAGATTGTTCTGGAGAGTGAAAGGAAACATGTGGATGGTTGTGCCATTTTTTTTCGCTCAAACAAGTAATTGATGTTTTTTTTTTGTGGTCTGTTTCATTAAAAATAGAAATGCAGGTTTGCATTTATAGGAATCTACATTGTTAATAGTACACTTCATAAGTGTTAAATTAGGACATAAAAATAGGAAATATGATTCCTGAACTTAAAAATTAGTAGTTATTAATGAATTTCAATTAAAGGAAGTCAAAACTTGTTTAAAGATTCCAGAAGAAAACAAGATCTTACAATTTATCTTTAAGGCACACAAAGTGAAAGTGACATGATTTACACATTCATATAAGAAATAATTGTATAATTAATGTTCCATAGAAAACATTAAATTACAAGAGGTGTAAATTTGAGTAGTAAAACACATTATGCTAATATAATAATAGGTTGGCAAACAACAATTTATAAGCATAACGAATAATTTTATTGATGGTGTAATATAGTACATGTTCTGTGAAATATTTAGTATATTCAACCATCAATAAAAGATGTCTATATTTAAAAAAACAATTATCAATATATTTTAACATCATTCTATAAGAACAAGAAATGTCATGTCAATTTTATTACTATTAATTTTTTATATATGATGTTTAAATAAATGCTAACTTTCAGGAAGATATGCTAAACAGTGATGGTATTTTTAGAATAATTTTGATTATTATGACAGTTATGATTTAAAGTCAGTTTCCTGCTATTAAAAGCTGAAGATTTGAGAATGATATAGAAAAGTGAGAAGTAGACGCATGGTTCTTTCAGCAATACTCATTAATTGACTGGAAGAATGTGTTGTTGCTTGTATATATGTAAAAGGTTGAGGACTTTATATTAAAGTGATTTTGAATATGCAGATCAACAAGTCACAGTGGAATAGCATGTATCAGAACTACATATTGACATTGTTTGATGTTCCATAGGTATGTGATGCTACCAAAAATTTATTGCTTTTGGAAAGGGTATCTAATGGCCCTTTCCAATGCAAAATATTCATACATTGAGATCATAATGATGTGTTCAGATCAGGGATTTACAAGTTCCAAGATAGGGATATCCCTTGTACTTAATGGCATTAGAAAACAATAGTGTAAGTTGTAATCAGTGGTCTAACCCATGAACATTTAGAGCAGAAATAATTTCCCAGCATTATAAAAAAAGTTATTTTTACAAATTAAGTAAGCTAATTGTCATGGCACACTTATGGAATATGGTAACTTTCTTCAGGTGATGGTAGTCCATGACAGAACAAGTAAAGGTTTGATAAAACAATAACCCATGGCTAGAGATTGTTACCAAAGTAGGTGAACGCAAATCCGTTTTTTGTCTCTAGTGTAAAGTTGTTGGAAAAAATAATATGATGAGTACTTCTGGCTCTCTTAATATTCATATTTTTACAATTGAAAGTCACAATGACAGCAGTGACCATTTAGATGCAGTAAAAATATGTGTAAAAAGAAAAACTGCATGTGTGAATACAGCAAAAATGATGATGAACTTGATGATGAGGGTTATACATCTGAGTGTATAGTGACTGAGTCTGATAAATTAGTATTTCAAACAATTTATTTTTGTGCACAGAGCTTCCAAGTGAAACCATAAATAAATTACTAAGTTTTCACTCCCTGAAGGTTTGAAAACTGAAAAGAAAAATGTTAGTTGGACTTCAATTAATGAAATGCAGAAGATCATATCAAACTGTTTATGTAATTACATTATGAAATGTATCCAAAGATGTGACTTTTATGGTGTCTTGATAGATGAGTTGTATGATCTAGGATTTCAAAAAAAAAAGCTAATCATTTGTGTAAAAATGTGTGCATGAATGCAATGTTGAGACATCCTACCTAGGGAGTGTAAAATTTGATGATAGCAAAGCCCATACACTATCCAACTTTCAAAGGGTACCTTTTATAAATGAAGAGTACACATGAAAAAAATGGTAAGCTTGTGTACAGATGAAGATGCTCCTATGGTACGTTACAGAGCTGGTGTATGTGTGCAAATAAAGTCAAATTTCTCCCCATTTGTCACACAGACATACTGCTTGGCTCATAGACTTGCCCTGTGGTGTGTCGATGTCATCAAAAATATTAAACCACTTCTGTCAAATCAAGATTCAACAATTTGTATTATTTCTTTATTGGCTCTGTAACATGAACTGAAAAAGTGTATAACATTCAGAGAATTTTCAGTGACAAATAATTGCAAATCAAAGAACCACACACTATGAGATGGTTGAGCATGAGAAGTGCAGTTGATGCTGTTTATCATAGTTATCCTTCTGTTGTAGCAACATTTCCTGAACTAGGTACAACAGATGAAATAGCTAAATCATTACACACATACTTTAACAGCACTAAAACAAGCCTCATGTTAATGTCTATAATGAAATTTGAATGTTAAGTTGTGGATTTCAGCAGGAAAATCTGGTAATTAGTCAAGTGAGATCACTAGTTGAGTCTACTTTAGTTGGATTGGATGATACAAAGAAAAGTGTTGAAAATTACAGGAGATGGTGAACACTTTGGAACAGAATGATGGGTGTATGAAAGGCGTAAAACTTTGTTTCAGAAGGGACAAAAGTAAAGCAGCTGATGAGTAACCACATAAATTTCTATTTTTGATGAAGAGCTAGCAAATGGTGCTATTACTGATTTCATATGATACTGGGGAAAACACTGAAAATGAAGTGATGTTTGTACTTAAAAAAATGATTTAGTATAAAATGAATGGCCTACTTCAAAGGCATATTGAAAGGCACATATAAAAATTCAAATATTAAACTGCATGGTAATCAATTTCTTAACATGTTAAAATTGTGTCAAATAACTTTGCAATGAGCATTAATTGTGAAAGAGCCTTTTCTGTACAAAACAGGTTCAAGACAAAATTCAGATGATCTATGAAGACTGAAAAGATACTGTTTTATCAGAATTGTAATGTTAGTCTCAGAAAGTTCACTGTATGAACCCAGTCCTGCAATTAAAATGTGGGACAGTACTAAAAACATAAGAATGGCAAGGCTTTCACAACCACACACACACACAGAGAATTAAAGAAGTTAAAAATAAATAAATGTGTAAGTTTGTATGTACTTGTGTAGTACTTTCTTGATTCCAAATACACAGTAAGATTATTTTGACACATTCAAACTCTTATAGGGCCTGGCATGGCCAGGTGGTTAGGGTGCTCGACTCGCAATCTGCGGGTCGCGGGTTTGAATCCCCATCACACCAAACATGCTCGCCCTTTCAGCCATGGGAGCATTATAATGTGAGGGTCAATCCCACTATTCGTTGGTCAAGGATTAGCCCAAGATTTGACGGTGGGTGGTGATAACTAGCTGCCTTCCCTCTAGTCTTACACTGCTAAATTAGGGATGGCTAGCACAGATAGCCCTCGTGTAGCTTTGCACGAAATTCATAACAAACAAACTCTTATAAATGATTCAGTCATTATCTAAACCAGTATACAGATGTTTGTCCATGTTACTGAATTACTGATCACCTTTGGTAGATAATGATAGGGGCAAAATTTGATCAATACCATACTGATCATGGCAAAAATTACCTGAAGCACTGCTTTAAACCATGGCAGTGTTTCAAGTGTATACCATCTAGTACCACAATTTTTAAACTTAAATTGCATCATTGTTATTGATATAGTGGAATTTATTGAGTGTAACTAACAACAAATATATCTGGTCTATTATATTTCTATGTTCCATAAAGAAAAAGATTATTCATGTTCTTTGCACTTGTTTTTAGGGATATGTGACTAGAAAGTTAACCCAAATAATACAATTGTTACTTTAGATTTTCTCTTATAAAAGAACACCTGGTGGAGTTCAACCAGTTGGCTATGGCTAATGCTGAGGGGTCTGATGATATGCTGAACAGGGTTCAGACAAAGGATAACATTGGTCTAGCAGCACTTCTGCAAACTAATGAGGGAGCATTTGAGAATGGTGAGTTTGAAAAATAGCAGATATCTTCCTTGTTCTGTCCAGGGTCAAAACTAACAATTTCATAGCTGCTTTTACCTGTGTGATAACAAAGTAAGAGACCTATTTGAACTATTTATATTGAAGTAGTAGTAGTACCTGTATGCTTCATATGATTTGTTTTATGGTAGGTGGTATTAATATATTTGTTATGAATAAAATGCAAAGTTAGAGAAGGGATTCTTCTGTATGTGATCAAAAACTTTTTAATACTGCAGAGAAGTACTACATCTAAACTTTTAAACAGCATCAGAAAATATTTGGCAAAGCTGTGAGTATTAGTGTGTTGCACAATGGCAGTTTTTTTTTTTCTGGAAAAAATATCTTCATTATCATAGATGATAGGGTTCTTTGTGTTAGGTGAAAGAACTTGGTGAGTGTTTTTGTGTACTTATTGTCTCTTCCTCCCATTCAAAAATATAAAATGAAAAAAAATAAATTATTTAAATGTGCATTACTGTTAGTATTTGACATTTGTACATTTCCAGGGGTTTTGCCTGGTTCTTCTGAAATTCATCAGCCCTTACTGGTGTGTACAGCTCACATACACTGGGATCCAGAATATTGTGATGTCAAACTCATTCAGACTATGATGCTGATGAGTGAATTACATGGGATTTTGGAAGACGCTACACAGAGTTTCCGTCCAGGCTCTCAGAAGCCTGATATCAACAATATACCTTTGCTTCTCTGTGGAGATTTCAATTCCCTACCTGAATCAGGTAAAGACCAACTTTATATATATATATATATATATATATATATATATATACACACACATATAGTACGGAGTAAGTAGTATAAGTTAGTTAGTTAAAGTAATTCTTCTACGTTACGTTAGGTAAGTTAAAGTTAATAAAGTTAAGGTTAGT